ACTGAAAAAGGCTCCTACAGCTTGGTATGAGAGGTTGTCTAAATTCTTTCTGGAAAATGGATTCAAAAGAGGAAAAATAGACAATACTCTCTTCTTGAAGACAATAGGCAAAGAACTGCTCATCATTCAAGTGTATGTCGATGATATTATCTTTGGAGCAACTTTTGAGGGCTTGTGTGAGGAATTTTCTTCACTGATGGGAAGTGAATTTGAAATGAGTATGATGGGAGAGTTGAGATTTTTTTGGGCCTGTAGATCAAGCTAACTACAAGTGGTACCTCTATTTGTCAAGAAAAGTACATAAAGGAGCTGCTGAAGAAATTTCACATGATGGATGCTAAGCCTTGATACTACCATGGGTACGAACTCAAAGTTGGGTATAGATGATTCTGGTCCTATGGTGATTGAAACTATGTATAGAGGCATTATTGGTTCATTACTATACTCGACAGCAAGTAGACCTGACATTGTGTTTAGTGTGGGTATGTGTGATAGATTCAAGCTTTCCCCAATGAGTGACATTTGAAAGATGCCATGCGGATTCTTAGGTATTTGAAGAAGACAGGGGATGTGATTCTATTCTACCCCTCAGGAGACTCCTTTGAACTAGTGGGATATGCTTATGTCGATTATACAGTTTATCAAGTGGATAAAAAGAGCACCTCAGGAATGGCTCACTTTCTGGGATCCTCACTCATATCCTGGGGAACTAAGAAATAAACTTCAATGGCTCTCTCTACAGCTGAAGTAGAATATGTAGCAACTGCATCATGTTGTGCTCAGCTACTATGGATAAAGTAGCAACTTAAGACTTCAGAGTACTCACTCACACTATCCCACTTTTATGTGACAACACTAGTGCTCTCAATATGGCCAAGAATCCAGTACAGCATAAAAGGACCAAGCACATTAATGTGAGACATCACTTTCTGAGAGACAATGTAGAAAAGGGGAACATTTATATGGAATATTGCAGGACTGAAGATCAAATTACTGACATTTTCACTAAAGCTCTGGGCAAGGATCAGTTTGAGAGTAACAGATTAAAGTTGGGAATGATGAAAATGGACTGAGATGAGTTTATCCAAAGCATCCAACCCTCATTGGCTATGATTAGGAGGCATGTATCCCTTTTATTTGTAATGCTTAGTTTGGTAAGATCTTGATCCCCATTGAAGGGGTAGTTGAAGTTCCAAATGAACAATCAGAGAGTGACACTATGTCAAAGGACATCCTCTCTGCAGTGGACAAGAGAAAGAATGAGGCACTAGAAAAGAAATGGGAGAAACCAAAGTCTAGGAAATCTTCAGAAAAAGGAGTGACTATTTCGAAGAATGGAGAAGAAAAGGAACCAGTAAAGAAGATAGTGAAGAAGACATCTAAAAGAAGAAGAGAAGTGTCACCTGACACTGAGAAACCCATCAAAAATCCTAAGTCCAAGTTTTAGGAGGGACCAAGTTCAAAAAGAAAGAAAACGAAAGATGAGACAAAGGTAAAAAAGGGGGAAATAGTTGAAAATCTAAGATTGCAAAAGGTCTTGAGTGGAAGAGTATTTGATCCTGAGATCATCATAATGCTTGGGATGAGCACTTTGGTTGATGTTGTTGAAATCCAATCATGGACTCACATGTTCATGAATCACTCTCCAGTATTGCATGAGGAACATGTGAGGGAGTTTTATTACAATATTGAGTTCACTGAGGATAGAAGCCTCAATACACAAGTTTGGGACATAATCTTTCATTTGAATGAGGAAAGATTGGGTGAAATTCTGAATGTGCCCAGGGAAGGGATCAGATCCGTGGTTTGACAATCATGTATCAAAAACTTTGCCAAGGAGTGTGGAAAACTCTCAAAGATGAACTGTGCAGGCATCCCTAAGAAACTTCTAAAGGGGGATTATAAATTGCTTTCTGAGTTTGTCAACAAAGTGCGCCTCCCAATATCTGAGAAAGGAACAGTTACTTCTGCGGCTGATTTGTTTTTAATGGAGGCACTTAGCAAGTTTGATCTCTTAAATATTCCAACCCTCATACTCGAACACATGCACAAGACAATAATAGATCAAAAAGGAAAACATGACATGTGGTATGGCTACTTCCTGACCAAAGTCTTCAAACACTTGGAGATTCCTTTGGGAGCAGGTACTGTATGGACAGTGAAGCAGTCTTTCTCCATGAACACTCTTGTTGAGTGTGAGTGTGTGGAAGGAAGAACAAGGAACTTGAGCAAAATGTATGTATTGGAGGTTGAACTGAGTCAACTGAAGCATAAGTTAAAAGAGATGACAACATTGGTGAGTCAAAAGGATGCAAAGATAGCAATACTAAAGGCACAATTGGCAAAGGCACAAACTGAGGGACCAGGTTCAGCCGAAGTCTTTGAATTGAAAGCTAAGTATGAAGCACTTCTGGCTCATAATGCTGAACTTAAAGAAAAACTGATCAAGTCCAATGATGCTGCTAATGATCATCTCTCTCTTGTCATTCAATCTCTTACTTGAAAACTTTCTTCCTCCTAGTCCCTACCTAGTCTTTATCCAGTCCTCCTTTTCATTCCTTTTTTTTGTGTGGGCAGTCTCCCGGGGTTCTCTTAGAAGTTTAATTCTAATGTATTGAATGTTGTTTCTTATGCAATGAAATGGATCTCTGTTTTGTTATTGATCATTCTTACTTCTCTGGTTTTGTTTTATGCTTGTGTTGCCAATAGGCTATGATCTTACCTTGCAGGCTTACTTTTAATCTTGATTTACTGCCTTTTTTTAAGATGCCAAAAGGGGGAAATTCTTGGTTGCATAGTAACAGGATAGATTTTGGTTTAGTTCACAGGGAAGTGTTGTGGTTCATAGGGGAATTTGCATGATAGGGGGATATTTTGTGGTTGATAGGGGGAAGTTTCTTGATAGGGGAAGTGTCAATTGTTGGTTGCATGTTTCTCATCATCAAAAAGGGGAAAAATGCTATTTTTAGTTTTGATGATTTGACAAACAATAACATCGAATAAGGGGACCTGATCCCACAAAGGAATGATGTTCCTATGCGAGAAAGGGACACCTTGAAAAAGTGCACTGCAACCTCTGTCGCCTGCAGGTCTCCAAGAGAAGGTGCGTATTTCTCGTACAACATGGCAGGGCCGTTGACCAATAGCGTGGCTTCTAAGGTTGTGTCTATCATATATAAGGTTCTTCTCAATAGACACAACCTCGGTTTTTGCATTTCTCAAAAATTTCAAGAACACAGCAAAAATCATCTTTTCGAGAAATATTTTCCTCATGACCAACAAGACCTGATAGAGCTGTTAGCGTCTTTAGGTGTCTTAGGATTTATACTTCAGTGCTTATCTGTTTAGATCTATTCCTAAGTTATAAAGAAATTAGATAAGTGTTTCATTTTAGTGTTAATCTTGAGTTATTGCTAGAGTTAGCTATGGCTAGTGGATGAAGTCTTAGTCAACTAGAGTTAGTTGGGTTAGTGGGTAACAGAGTTCTTGCTTAGTTTGAAAAGAAGGCTAAATCAACTTTATTCAGTGGGCAGCAGAGTTGTTTCATATAGGGGGGAGGGATTTAGAGTTCAATTCCTAGGTTACAAGAGTCTGTAATCTGAATCGTTGCTCTTTTTGAGATGAATGAAGTTTGGGTTGAAATCATGTGAGTACAGGTCGTGGTTTTCACCGCCCTTAAGCAAGGGGGTTTCCACGTAAACTGCATATGTTGTTTACTTTACTGCTTTTACTTATTATTTTTGTTCTTGCTGTGTCAAAGGACCTGGTCCATTGACAGCTAGTGGAAGCCTACCTACATTCTAACAATTGATCTGATTCCATAAGTGTTGCTCAATGCTTCTTAACTCGATCAATGTAATCAATCATACTTGCTACATGTTGCCACGTTATTCGGACATCTGGCCGAGTGTGAATTTACCCCATAAAATAAATTATTCATCGAGAAATTAGTGATATTAAAATGTTGCGCAAAAGTAAATGTAGTTAATTAGTTTATCCAACACATCTTGACGTATTTGGACAATATATTTTTGTTTAAAGTTGAAGAAAAAACTTCTACAAATTGAAGTTCAATAAGAATTAGTCGGATCATGTTTAAACATGATTTTTACTTGGAAAAAATGGTTAAGAATTTGTAAGTAAAATTATTTGCACTTGAAGTTCTCATCAATCAATTTTTTATCGTACCTTTGTATTTGCAAAATTTATAAAAACTTGTTTCAAAAGTACTGATTGGGAGGTAGGCGAGCATGATAGGAAGGGAGGCGAGTGAGATAGTCATGTATGTTATATACATGTGAACCACACTAGATACACACTAGATGCATTTATCTGGTGTGATCCACATGTAAGCCAGATACATAGGAGAGTGGCAAGCGAGATGGGAGAAAGGTGCGGGAGGTGACAGAGATTTTTCTATGTATCCCATATACATGTGAATCCACTTGGATGTTGTGTATCTAGAATAAATTACACCTAATTTTGACCTCATATATCCTGAGATACATGTATCTAGATATATCTTGACCCACCAAAATCTAGTAAGATTTATAAAATCTATATAACTAACTTCTAAATTTATGGGATTTCCATAAGGAACCCATTAAGTTATGATCCAGATATATAGCCCCAACACATTTCAACAAGAGTAACTTTTAAAGATAACCTGAAAAGATGAAATTTTGAAAAACTAGCTCAAGAAATTACCCTTCAAACCAAAATCCCCAAAAATGGCGATGAGCGGTTCGTCATGATGAAATCATAGAAGAGATAGTCTCCCGGATGCCTGTAAAATCAGTAGGTCAATTTCGTTGGGTTTTCAAGCAGTGGTAAGACCCGAAATTCATAAAAATTCACCTCAATTTTCATTCCAACAAACATGAACAAATTAAGCTAATTCTCATCTCTGATGTTTCTCAATCTCTTCACTCTCTTCATATTAACCCTAACCCCCAAAATGGAATTGATGCAATTTCAACCGAGCTTAGTTTTCAGGAAAAATGGAAAAAATTGTTGGTTCATGTAATGGTTTGGTATTAGTGTTGAATGAGGAAGATGTTGCATTTTTAATCAACCCCACAAGCATAGAATACCGTAGAATTCCAAACTCTCCTCTGGCTCTTCCAAATCGTGGTACCTCTACCGCGTATGCCCCTGTGTATGATGTTGCTAGTGATCATTATAAGGTTTTTATTTTTTCTTATTATAGATATGTACTTGAAGGTGACCTTTATTGTACATTTGTGGATGTCTACTCTGCGAGAATGGGTTTTTGGAGGAGACATGAGAGTATATCTCATTATGGTGCAATTCCTATTAGTGGTTTTAGGGTTTTCCTAAATGGGGCTTTGCATTGGCTGGCAGGTAAAAAATATTGTTCTCCTTCTGTAATTGTTGTTGTTGATCTAACTAATGAGAATTTCTTCGTGGTGCCTATACCTACTATTACTACTACTTCTCTTTTGCGCTTTTATGGAATTTTGGCTCTTTGAGGGTGTCGTTGTGCATTGGGTAATAGAAGAAATGAAAATTAAATTGATGTTTGGATAATGAAAGAATATGGGGTTGCAGAGTCTTGGACCGAATTTAGTGTTGTATAAAACACTTACCCTTTTGGTCCCACACCCGTGTGTTTAATGAGGGATGATGATATCGTATTAGATGCTCCTGGGAAAGAGAAGTTGATTATCTACAATAGGAAAGAGGAACAACCGAGAGAAATGAATGTTGATGGAAAAACTTCTAAGTGTATAAGGACTAGAACTTTCATGGAGAGTCTTGTCTCTCCTATGATTGGTAGGGAAACTGAGGGTAGTGACTATATCGCTTGATACAGTATTTTGAGATGATGTTGTACTCAAGTATTGATTTCTTATTAATTTGGCATAGTATTTATTCATCAATAGGAACCATAGAATTTTATGAATGGTATTTTTTTCCTCATCGAGTATTATAAATAATAGTTGTCTTGTCCTCCATAGAGTTTTGTGATGGTAATTCTTCTGTCCTGTTTCTTGATGTTTTAACTCTTCTCTGAATCATGAGTTAAATAATCTCACAATGGACTACTATAAATTTCTTGTTGCCATTTCTGTGTGTATACTGTTATTAAGCTAAATTATCTAATTGTTCAAAACACAGAAATAACATTTTATGTTGCTACCTATTTCATTGTGTAATTGTCAAGGCGTATTGCTACAGATATGAATATCAATGTTGGCTAGTATTATCTATATATTGTTTTCTGAAAGTGGGAAGATTCAAATTCAAATGTTCACAGACCAAAATATCTCTAAAAATTTGATGGACTCTTTCACCCGTTCAAAAATCATATTAACTATTCTTAATTAACGCACAAAAATGTAAAAACATTCATCACATTAGTTAGTTTGTTGAGTTTCTTTCCCTTCCTCGAATATGAAATGAAATGACAATATATTACATAGATTTGTACATCACAATGTATTTTGTTCTTTTGTTGTAATTTAATGCACTATGTATGAGTTGTGAATGATCTGCCTTTTCATTTTTTGAATTAATTGATAAGTACCTTGAAGTGTTTATATTATTTCCATATATATATCACACATAAGTGATTAATCAGCTGCAATTCTGATCAATTTGCTAAATTCTGTTTTGATTTCCCAAACTATTCTTCAGTTCTACAAAAAAAGCCTAAACTTTGTGTGGCTTCTCTTATTAGACACTAACAATTTGTGCTACATATCAGTATAACTTGCATTGAATATATTAAACATTATCTAGTTTATTATTCTACACCTAGTTACATGCAGTGTTGTCAAAGGCTCGCTTTAAGAGTGCTTAATTTGTAAAGCGACGCTCAAAATGTGATGAGCGCTTCACCTCACTTAATGTGCACTTTAGTGTCGTCATCAAGGTTTTAATGCATATATTCCCTTGCCAATGATCCTATTCTAAATAGGAAATATTAACAATTGATATTTCACTTTATTGTAATTCTTTTTCATTTTTTTTGTTCAAATAATTTTCATCATTCTTGATGGCTCTCAACTAACTCCAGAAATATTTCTTGGTAAAAACCAATTAAATCCATTTTTCATAATTGGGTTCTCCTTATCTTAGTCTGTAATAATAGTTTAGGTTTTGATAGCTCTTGCAGTTGTCGCAGTTTATTATGTCAAGCTTGGGTAAAGAGTTAGATTAAAAAAATTCCTTCCTCACTGTTTGGTACTATGCTTGTGGGCCTTTGGATTTGATTTGTTATGATATTTGGGGTCCAGCCTAGGAAATCTCAAGTGATGGTTTTTGTTATTGTTTTATATTTTTTATTACTTTAGCAAATACTCTTGGATATATCTTGTTGAGAATAAATCTAATGTTCTTGACATTTTTCATCAATTTCATTTAAACGATTTCAAGCGTACTGGGGAGGAGGTTTCAAGCGTACTGGGGAGGAGGTTCAAGCCTTGACTTCCTATGTGCCCACACATAGAGTCACACAACGTGTTTCCTATCCATAAACTCCTTAACAAAATTGGTGTGCAAAAAGAAAACATAGGCATGTCACTGAAACTAGTCATGCACTGCTTTTTAACTCACATGTTCGCTCTAATTTTTGGACAAATGCATTTGAAACGACTGTTTTTGCCAATTAATCTTCTGCCCACTCCTCCAATAAATCATCAAGTCCATGTGAAATTTTTCTTGGTGAAAAGCATGATTATAATCAACTACGTATTTTTGGTTCCTTGTACTACCATTGGCTTCGTCCTCATTCACAAAATAAATTATCTCCTCGTTCCACTCCGTGTGTCTTTCTTGGTTGTACTTGCACTCAGAAAGGCTACAAGTGTTATAATCGTGTCCATAACAATTTTTTTTCTTTCATGTCATGTGTTATTTGATGAATAAGTGTTCCATAGTCAAGAAGTCGATGGTATGTGCGCTACATCTACTAAGCGTGACACAAACCTATTTGTTGTGATTACTACTGCTCATATGGGTCTATCTACACCCATGCATCCACCAATGTCGCAACCTCAACTACTAGTAAGCCAAGAATCAACCTCAACTCATCCGTCATCCTCTCCGCACTTTTCTCTTGCATCATCTCCATCACATGTTTCTCCTGTTTCACTTGGTACTTTCTAACATTATACATAAGTTCAATACCTTTGCATTTTGATTGGTGTTATTGTTTATGACTATCCAGGTGACTCTAATTCTAATGGTGCTACTTCATTGTATTTAGTCACACCCATTTGTAGTCATCAAATGCTTACATGAGCGCATAAAGGAAATCTTAAGCCCAAATGTATCCGGTCTTTCTTTAGCTCCTCTAACCTTGGTCTTGACCCCACATGTTATACTCATGCTATTAGAATTCCTTCATGGAGATGATCTGCTATGTCCGTAAGATAAAATGCGCTCATAACAACTGGTACATGGAAGTTGGTTTCACCTCAACAAGTTGCGAATGTAATTGGTTGTAAATGAATTTTCAAGACAAAGAAAAATCCAGATGGCTCAATTGACCGACATAAGTCTAGATTATTTTCCAAGGGTTTCCATCAATTCCCTTGAATTGACTTTGATGATACTCTCAGTCCTGTTGTCAAACCTACAATTGTTTGAGAATTGCTTCTATTGTCATGTCACAAGGATGGATTGTTAATCAACTTGATATATTTAGCGTGTTCTTGCATGGTAAGCTATAGGAGGATGTATACATGGTTCAACCTCCAGGTTTTGTTGACCCTAATCACCCAAATTATAGATGCAAGCAAGAGAGTTCTATTTATGGCTTTAAATAGGCTATTCGACTATGGAATAAATGTCTGGTTTATACCTTGTATGAGCTTTATTTCAAAGGCTCTAAAAGAGATTCCTCACTCTTCGTTAGATTCACGGGTGCAAAAAATATATTTTGTTTTATCTATGTTGATGACATTATAGTATTGGGCATGTCTGTACATCTAGTTGCATCATTGCTTCAATACTTAGAAATTCCCTTCTCCTTGCGTAACTTGGGCAAGCTTAATTAATCATTGGGTATTGAAGCTAGATGGAGATTAATTGATTGTTATTACACCAATCTAAATATACACATGATCTCTTGTAATATAGTAACATCTTAACTTGTAGTGATATTTCTACTCTCATGTGCCCGCCCGAGTAACAAGTAGCACACCAGTGACAATAATTTCTTTATGAAAGCCTTTATCAAAGTTTTGTCGGTGGCTTACAATATCTCATTTTCTCTAGAATTTGTATCTCCTTCTCCATTAATAATATTTGTTGGTTCATGCATAGTCCGACAGAGAAATATTGGGCAGCAGTAAGCATATCTTGAGATATTTGAAATCAACTTCTTCTCATGGTATTTTCTTTCCAAATCATAAATCTCACCAATTACAAGGATATTGTGATGCTGATTAGAGAGGAAGTACAGATGATAGGAATTCTGCTATTGGTTTTGAAATTTTCTTTTGTTCACCGCTTGTTTCTTGTTGTTCTCGCAAACAACAAATCTCTTGCTGTCTAATACCGAAGCTGAAATACCTCTCTTGCTACTTCCACCAAAAAAATTCAATGGATTAGTCTATTGTTGAAAGAAATTGGTCTTTTCTTCTTGTCCCGTGTCTTTCTTGTGATGTCATAATTTTAGTGAGACCTATCTTACCGCTAACCCAGTGTTTCACTCTCGCACCAAACATATGTGGATCGATTTTAACTTTATTGAACATCTTTTCCTGAAAAAGGAACTTTGGGTTTAGTATATTTGATTCATGACCAACTTGTATATATTCTTACGATATGATTAATGACTGTAACATTGGGCTTTACTTACATAAAATACCAACTTAAAGAAGCTACAATTGGTTAGGTGATTTTTAGCTCATAGGAATCAACCTGGATCAAGGGACCATATCATTAACTGAGAACAACTTAGAACAAAAACAGAACAATCAACTTGCTCAAGGAAGGAAAAATCACGACCTACCAAGTAGGATTTCACCAATATTTTCACTAAACAAGAGCCAGTTATAAAATTACTAACTCGTGCAATGTAGGAATTAAACTCTTAATCCCTCCCCCATGTAAACTATGGCTAACACTAGCCAACAGCTCGAATCTAAAAGAAAAGAGAAGACACAATACCTACACAAGCTACATTAAGAAGAGTAGGTTCACAATATTAGCACAAAAAAAGACTCAACAACAAGGAATGAAAAAATAACTTCAATGATAAGAGCAGGTCCCTTGTGGTGTAGGTCTACGTGAGACGATGCATGCTTGAAACAAGAGCAGTATTCTTCAATGTTGCAAAATGTAGGTTTTGATCAATTCTTCTTATCAATGAGATAGGGACAAAGGGAAAAACCATAACCTCTTCTTCTTAGTCGAGGTGTACAAGGATATTATTTTCCTACTGTCACCATGTCATACTGCTCTAGCACACTACATATGTCACAACCCGAGAGCAAACCCTAGTCGTAACCGGCGTACT